CTCTGCAAAATTTAGCACTGTGGCTCACATCTTTACTAATTCCTCTTCCACGGTCCTCATTTCATTAAACCCACAAGGAGAGAGCAGCAGTATAGCAAAATAGTGGGGGACATATTTTTCACACTGCACAGATCCCCTCCACTCCCATTTGAGAATCATTACATATGTGAACCCCTCACTATTTCTAGCTGGAGTAAGTTATTTCTCTTAAGAGTCTGGGGATGAAAAAAACAAAAGCTGGAGATCTCTGTACCAAATACTTCCTGTAGATGATATCATCTACTCTCATGACTTCAACTATGTGCCAACTACACACTGATGACTTCAAAAATAGTATTTTAAGCCCAGACCCACATGTCCAAATGCCTAGCACACCTGTTTTCAAATGACCTACCATTGCAAACTCTACAAGTACATTATATTTTCTAATATATATTTTATAATTTATATCAAATTAAATCATAAATTATATAATTTATATTTTTCTCTTCTTTTTCTTAATAGTATTAGTATTTACTATATGATCCAAGTCATATTTATACTCCTTCTCCTTCACACTTCCCATTCTTACCCCACATAGATCAAATCTGTCACCAGGTCTTTCTCTTCTTCCTCAAGAACACATTTCAAGTGTATCTACCTACCATTTACTATATTCCGCTTGGACCTCTGCATTAGCCTCCTCACTCCTCCCTACCAGCAGCCTCTGCACTTCAAACTATTCTCCACGTGCTTCTGATTCGTACTGATTAAAGCAGGAAATCCTTAAATGCACTTCTCATGATATACAAGATGATTTCTGATAGCAAACAGACCAACTTCTTAAATATTCATATTTTAATACGTTTCAAAAAACAGAATTAACACATCAAACTGAGTGTCAAGTTTAAGTTTGCTTTAAAAATAAATTTCAGTATAAAACTCACGAAATTTAAAGAAAAATTAATCTATTCAGGTAGTGTGAGATGTTTTAAAAAAGATAAAAGCAGTACATGAATCAATGACGTTGGGAAGCTTGGTACTAGAAAGCAGGTCTAAACTCCTTAATATGGTATCAGATATCTTAAACTCCTTAACATTCTCTTCATTTTTAGCTTCTCCCTCTCCTACATTTCCTGTACTCTACATGTAAGTTCTGTGTATCAGCTTTGCTGAAAAACAAAACACCCCAAATTTACTAGCTAAAACAACATTTTATTTAGTTCATAAGTCTGTGAATGGGCTGGGCAGTTAGTTCTGTATCAGCTGACACCCCAGAGAGATCAGGGGAAATCTGGGCTGACAACTGATTGCCCCTGGACTCTCCCATGTGTTTGTGATCAAATGGTGGATCAGCTGGTAACTAGATGATCTCACTCGCATGTTTAGCAGTTCGATGACTGTTGGCAAGAGCCTCAGTTCTTTTCTGGGTGACCACTCATCCTGCAGCACAGTAACCTGGGCTCACTGACAATACAGTCACAGGGTTCCAAGTGCAGAAGCCCCAGTGCATGAGTCTCTGCGCTGTTTGCTAATAATCCACTGGTCAAAGCAAGTCATATGATCAACCCAGATTCAGTATGGAGAAAGAGACTCCACCCCTTAATGGATGGATCTGCAATGTCACTTTGCCAGGAGTTAGAAGCAGGAAAGGGAAATTGGTGACTGTTTTTACAATCAAACAACCCTTCCCATCCACCAAATATGCCAGGCATATTCACACACATGCTCCTGCTGTTCCCATCACTTAAAATGAACTCTCAACTTCCTCCTGTCCTTCTGGAAAATCCTTATTGCTTGTCCTTCAAGGCTCTGATCAAATACAGCATTCCCTGACACCTTCCCTCAAGGCATAATTAATTATTCCCTCATATGTTCCCATGATCCCTTGCATTGCCTCTATTATATCATTTAGTGAATTGTATTATAGTTATTTATAATGTCTTATACAGTCTTTCTCCTTAAATAGACTGTCTTTGTACCACCAGCATCTAGCACAATGTCTGGCAAAGAACAGGCATTCAATAAACGTTTAAGAAATTAAATTAAATTAATTTAAAACAAAGATTAAAGTCTCCCTGGAATATGCCTACATTAAAACAGATTTAAGGTGCAAATACAAAACTGGCCTCATGAGTTAGCAGAACTAATTAGATCTATCTCACCTATTTTTTTTTTTTTTTTTTTTTTTTGATAAAGAATTTCCCCTCTGTCGTCCAGGCTGGAGTGCAGTGGTGCCATCTTGGTTCACTGCAACCTCTGCCTCCCGGGTTCAAGGTATTCTTGTGCCTCAGCCTCCCAAGTAGCTGGGATTACAGGCACATATCACCATGCCTGGCTAATTTTTGTATTTTTAGTAGACACGGGGTTTCACCATGTTGGCCAGGCTGGTCTCAAACTCCTGATCTCAAGTGACCCTTCCACCCTGACCTCCAAAAGTGCTGGAATTACAGGTGTCAGCCACCACACCCGGCCCACCTCATCTCATTTGAAGAGCACCAGGCAGGGCAATGCTCTGAGCCAAAAGCATTTTTTCCTGTGGGACTGGCATAAAGCCTGAACTTCCAGCATAATTTATTCAAGGTCTGAATATGTTTTGATGTAATACAAACAACATAGGTTCTGGAGTCAAAAATACTACTAGGACTCAAAACCTAACTACATGTGTGATACTGACAATTCATTTTGTGCGTGTCTCTGCACTATTTTTTTCATCCATACAATTATCTGTGTTGCAGTAACCCATGTAAAGCAGCTAGCACAGTACCTGCCATACACCCAACACTTATATCAAATCACGAAGTCTCCTGTTTAAAAAGCAAATGCCTCTGGCAGGGGGTAACCGCAAGCCCTTTTTATTGCCATCTGAGGAGAGTGGGAAAAAGGTAAAAGAAAGAAGAGTGTCAAAGAAAAGAGTGGCAGATAAACAACTTCACAGTTTTACTGAGAGCTGGACTTGTGGCTAGTAATTAAACAGTTACATCCATTTTTAGAGACCCTACCAAGTAATAAAAGGCTCCCCACCTAGGGCATATAATGACCATTTCTGGTAATACAGGACTTGGGAACTGCATAATTTAGGACTCTGGGACTTGCATAATTTTTGCTGGGCATCAATATGTCCATACTTGCATAATTTTTCTGGGCATTGATATGGAATCACCATTTATAAGTATACCTAGGCAAGACTACTGAAGAGTTAGTTAAGGAAGAAACGGAGTTATTTAAATGTTACTCTGATCCTTTTCATGTATAATCCTTTGCCCTTGTCCTTCATTTAAAAGGGGCAACTGTAATTGTAGTAAACAAATTTTTTCCTCCCTACCTAAGGATACAATTTTTTTTAATGAGAAAAATTTAAAGAACACTACAAAACACACAATTATAAACTGTAAATTATATCACTTCTAAAGGAAATGTTGCCACTGAAATCAAAATAAAATGAGTTTTAGACACACTTATATCGTTTCAAAGTAAAGCCAAGTTTTAATAAAATGTTTAATTTTCCAAAATCCAAGCAGGGACTCCTATGAGAAGTCCCTATACTTGTCCGTCCTGAGGCTGTTCTCACATCTCAGTGACAACCCTGAAACACTTCTGCACTTTGGGAGCACTAAACCAATCTACTGTTCACATCTAGCCCTGTAAATGAAACTCCACTGTTACCCATGATCTTTCACCCCAGCTACATTATAAACTTCCTGGTACCCAAGATTCTGTTTTCTGTATTTTCCTAGTCCACTTCTCCCTACCCTCAGCACCCAGATTTGTACTCAATAATTGTTAATTCATGGCTGACAAGGAAATGTATAAATAGCACTTGCTGACAGTAAATTCTTTGGTCTGTCCAAGTTCAGACCAAGACCTCTAAAGATCCTAAAGACTGAAATGACTATGGTGCCCCACATTCACATGTAAATTAAAAAAATACTAAACTATAAAGGACAAAATTTACATGTATGTTTTTAAATTAAAATAGTTTCTAATGGCAAAATTCTAGGTAAGTTCATCAAAGGCTGAACTCTTCTTCATTCTTTTCCCTCCCCATTGTGAGAGCATACATGTGTATGTGAAAGAGAGAGAAAGAGAGAGAGAGAGAGAGAGGTCAGGGGAGAGGGAGCGAGGGAGGATGAATGTGTCTGTGACTTCCAGCACTTTGTCTGCTGTAGGGTACTCCAATTCTGGGTCCACTTCATAAACTATATCAAAATACTAAATATGGTTATGGATGCTATACAGTATAGAATGAGAAATCAAATAATTGCCTAAATCCATATGCATATTTGCTTTTCTCTTGTTAAGTATCCAAATTCTATTTCAGGTTTGTAGTAAGACAGCTTAATATGATATAAATAGAAACAATGTAATATATTGTTTCACCTGCTCTTACAATTGTATTATGGTTGTGTGTAGAAAAGGAGGTACAGCAAATGATTGTCAGCAAATCACTCATAAAAATGTGAGACGCCCAAGTTATTTGCATTTTATTTCATTAGACACCAATATTTGATAAAAGCAACAAGCACCAAATTATATTAATATAAATCTTCCATAAATAATGTTCACAGCAGTCACAAAGTTTTAAATACAGATGCTAATTACAGTGCCAAATCAAAACTACCATATTTCAATTAAAACTATTTTCACTTGTAATGTGATTATCTTATTCATAGTAACAGATATTAATATTTCTATCAAACCTGAATGGGTTGTGCTTAGCCATAATTGTTCCAATGGATCTGTTTCCACTCTTGTATTTTAAAATGCAAGTGTGCTCCATAAGAGTTAGTTTATCCTAATGTACCCAGGTAGACTCTTGTCTTGTAATAGAAAATGTTTGGATATGTAGGGAAATGGCATCAGAAAAATCAGGAAATGCTTGTGATTGTATAGGTACTTCATTTCTGATTATATAAGTATTTTTAAAACAGTAAAATATTTAAACCCTATACTTGCATTGAAGTACAGCTAGAATGCAAATTTAGTAATAAAACTGAATAATTTAGCAGCTTGTTTTGTGATCAGGTCTGACTGGTCCTCTCTAAGATGTATCCAATTTTTTAAAATTCCCTTTGTGGCTTTGAACTAGGAATGGAGTGCATATTATGTCCATTAAATAGGAAGCCAAGGATTACTTGAACAAATAATATTATGGCTTTGTAGAATGACTAATGGTCTTTGCAACGGCCCAGACTGGTTTCATCTTTCTTAAGATTTTATCACTGATTTGTTCTTAGTCATGTGCAGTCACTAAAGGCAGCAGAGGTAACAAGTGTTTGATGTATGATACTTGAGCCACTTTTGTCAGAGCTGCATTTATTTTTATGCTATATTCATTCTTGGTACTCTTATATTTACATGGTTCTTTCACTTTATTTTTTCTTGTTTCCAGTGATGGGTCAAACAGATACAGCAATTATAATAACACTAACCTCTAAAACTCTATAAAATAACAAATATCTACTTCCTTGCAAGGGATGACTTTCCATTGCAGATTAATAAATGACCACAGAAGCAAGCATCCTAATATAAGAGTTTAACTCTTTGTTCACTGCCATATTTGCACAGCTTACAAAATATCCCTTACCTTTTAGCATATATTATCAATTTCAATTCAATCCATCCTTTACAATCTGCAGCAAGTCACAGAAGTGCTCTTCTAGTTGAAAGGAAATTTCAAGGGAGGAGGGATGTGGAAAAACACATTTAATTTATTCTATTGAAAGGGGACATTCTAAATGGTTTCTGAGCTCTTTTGCATCTTCTTACACACTGCAAATCAGCTCAGATATCTTAATCAGTGGCTATAAACATATCCTTATCAGTAACATATTCATGAAAGATGGTATGTGTATGAGCTGCAAAATGTTTGGCAGAGACCCAAGAATACAAAAGAAAGAATATGGTAAAGAATTGATGGAATATCTTTGTGTTTCAACCCTATTCATTCTGGGAATTTTCTATCATCTCTTTTTGTTCCATTTGGAAGGATAATAGACAAACCAACAGAATGTCAGGTTTCTGTGACTTGGTTTCATCTATATACAGTCACACATATTGTACAACGATCCAGGATGGAAGCATATCTGTACACACTGATGAATATAAGTACATAATATATACCTTCTTGTGTCTCTCTCTAAATTTTTCTATTCATGATATTATCTTATACAGAGTTTAGTGCTTTTCTGTTTTGACAATCTAAGCACTGTCTACACATTGTTTCACGAAATCAAGAGTAGTCCTTGACAATTAATTTTTGCAGTCAATGGTCTTCTCAAAATGGGCAACTCCCCTTGGAACTCAGGAGCCACAACAGCAGACTGTGTGAGTGAGGGAGCGAGACAATTCATTAGCCGATTCTGCAGCAACTCAGAGTGGCGGGGGATGTCAGCCCCTGCTCTCGTGCTTCAATACTAATGAGAGTCATTGCATATTCATAACCCCAAATACAGTCAGCTTCTTGTAAAAACTTTTGTCACCCAGGCTTCATGGCAAGAGCAAAGCACTGCACTCTTCGTGTCGTGGCACTTCCGCCAAGTGAGAGTGAGAGCAAGATTGATTGTTTTGCAACGCTGCCTGACGGGGAACTAAAAGATGCTGCCCCAAGGGTTCTAAAACTGCTTAGTTTGATTGCAAAGCTCCAAATAATCAAAGAAACAAAAAGGAGGCATTGGTGGTGAATGTGTGTGTCGATATATACATATACACACATATACACCATTACATTAAAAATATATCAAAAAATACTCCAAACAAGAAATTTGGCTTATTCAGTATTCAAAGTAATTATCTGTTAGGAATGTAAAATCCTCACATCAATTCTTATTATGCTGAAAGAATGGTGTGCCCCAGTAAACTTGTTCTCATGTTGCAGAAATGCCATGGCATATCTTAATAGAAACAGATTTCTAAAACTGTCTGAAGTTTCCCGTCATTATCAATACCAAAGCTTAGTGAACTGAACCTGTCAGTTCTGCCAAATCTAGACCTACCTGGAATCCAATCTCTCAGGCACCTTTTTGTGTTGTCACTGTCTCCCTTGCTTTATCATCATCATCATCATCATCATCGTCATCATCATCGTCATCATCATCATCATTACGATGAGTGTCCAGAAACGAGCCATCCGGTGTGCCTGCCAGGAAATTCTAAGGGGCCAGCACTATACCATTTGACCCCAAAATACCTCTGTTTGGGGTAGCTACCAGCATCCCCTGGAGTCAGAGAAGGGAAATGTATGTTTCAGCACCCACTCTGAAAAAGCCTTGAGCATTTTTTCACTCGTAATGATGTCTTCAGCTGGAATGCCAGCACAGTTACACATTTTTCTGACAGGCATACAGGCTATAAACTACCCATAAAAATTAAATAAAACAGGACAGTGAAAGAAAACTTTCTAAATTTGATCACACTTGAGTTGTTAAAAGTTATTTTCAGATGCATAATGTGTATAAATATCTGCATAGCTAAAGACAAATCAGGACTACTGAGATGATGGTGGGGGGAGATGATGAGGTGTTGTGGGGGATGGGTCTCACCAAACTGTTTTATATCTTAGTCACAGACACAAGCTTTGAAAATAGACGGATTTGTGTTTATGATTGATTGAGGTAACTGATTATCCACAGATATTTTAAGTGTTGAGACATTAAATTGTCAGCTCTATCAGTTTGATTGCAGTAAAACATGAAAACATTGACTTTTGTCTAGTTAGAGAAATTTATTTTTCCCAGAATGACAATCCTTTAAGTAGATGCCAGGCAGCTTGCCAGATTTCCATGTCATACATTGAAGTTTGCAAATGCAACCCATATTTTCAAGTGTTTTTCAAGGTGCAATGAATGGTGCATAGGTCTTTTGCAAATAGTCTTGTAATAAACAGAATCCTGCAGTATGCTTCATTCTGTAAACCCAAGAAAAGTATTTACTCATTTTGAAGACGAAAAACACATTTTTCTTTGTATCAATGAAGTATATGTTACCAGTGCTCTTCACTTACTTAAAGTATCTCTCAAAAATAAAATAACCCTCTTTGGACCATCACACTGTAAATGAGTTTGATTAATATGTTTTATAAGCCTGAAATAAATGCTCATCATAACTGTCAGTAAGCTGACAGCTTTCAAAAGTCTTTGTTCCCAGAATGAGTAATTTTTCTGATCTTCTTTAAAATACCAGCCTAAAAGGAAGATGTTAAAATCAAGTAAATTCTACCAAAATTTGATTGCTGTTAAAGCAATCTTGTATTCTGAATCCCTGCATGCACTATATGCGTGTATACTACTTGACAAAATAAAAATACTTACATCTTATTTATTATTATTTCTTGTTAGAACACCTGTGCTTTTCACTGGGCAGAACTGTGGTTCAGTGTTTAAGACCTAGTCCATTATAAGAATAAAAAATGAAAGATGTTATATATAGTCAATTGTTTTAGTAAAATTTGACTAGGAAATCATAACTAGACCTGATGATTTCAATGAAAACACCAGTCAAAAAGCAGACGTGGTCATTAATTCTACTGAAACACCAACATCTCTGTATTTGCTCCATATTTTCCAAGCACTTACCATGATCATTAAAATACAGAATGTTCCAAAGACCAGGGGACACCATTGAGCCCTCCATGTCTGAATTCTGCAGACAGCAGTAGATAATACCTGGTGCTAGGAAAGGAACACATAGACGGTACCTAAGTAGTTGAGCAAGGCTACACCAACTAGAACAACAAATGCTTCTTCCTGACTCCTTTAGCCAATCACTTGTGTTCTGGAGCACTGGGTTTGGTTACCCTTCTTATCGTATCTTAGAGAGCAAAGTAACTATTTTAAATGGTCATTAAACTATCCATTCCCCTATTTCTTCATTCCAACTACTGCTGATGCTTCATAGCTGTTCCCTGGCAGAAATTCACAAAGCACCCTGCCTGTATGCTGCCTACAATTCCAGCTTCTTTTGTCAGCATTGTTTTCCTCCTTAATTTGGTACTACCTGCTCTCATACCACGCCCACAAAGGTTTAAATTACAGATTTTCTCATATCTTTTTGTGTAATTTCTATTTTTCCTAATCTTTAAGAAAGGCTCATTTTATAATAGTATATCACATTTGTCCATTAAAAGTCATTTTTTATTTTATTATTTTCCAAATAGCCAAGAAACCACAGGTTTTGTACATGCGATCACTGATACATTGTGAGCATTACTCCTCTTCTTGTTTATTTTGATATATGCATTATTTGACTTTTAATAAAGTATATTTTCATGCTTCACCTATGCCATGACCACCCCTTATAATTTCTGATACATTGTGGCAGTTTTGAAAACAAAGTTCCCTCATATCTTATAGAGTAATTTCCCCACTTTTGTTATATCTTATCTCTCAGTGAGATATAAAGTTTTAGTATTTAGCACATGAATTAGGTCAAAAGATAATTTATTTTCTTCTCCTTTGTTGGGTTTTTTCCTTTAAGGAAATTAGAATTCCCTTATAGTCAACCTAAAACAATCTATATGCTAATTACATGCCTATGATAATTCCATAATTCCAGTAGTTCCACATTGTTTTCTAGACCTTCAAATTATGTTCTTCTCAAAGTACTATACTGACTGGGGATTATGTTGTTAACTCTAAGAAACAAAGAAATGATACCTGGCTCAGGCAGGGTTCCTCTCTTTTGATGTAATGAATGCTATCTCCAAGTACAGTCACACATTGCTTAACAACAGGGATATGTTCTGAGAAATGCATCGTTAGGCAATTTCATCATTATGTGAACATCATAGGATGGACTTATACAAACCTATGACATTATGTAGCGCATGACTGTATATAGATGGTACCGACTCAGTACAAGTGTCAAAGTGGCCTGAAGTAGGATGCTTTTGACATTGCTCAATGCTTTTGACTGCTTCCTTGTCTATTCTGAATCATTTTTCATCTGTCCTCTAGCTTTTAAAGGTCACTATGACCTTGTCATTTAGTGAGAGGAGCCATCCTTACTATGATTATAAACTTAAATCATGCTGATCAGAGTTTCCACATTTCACTCCTTCCTATGCCTCATTTCAGTTTCATGTATTTACTTTTACCAAAAGTAAAATTTATTGCCGCTACTTAAAAATCTTCCTAATGACCTACATGCAGACTCCCTCACAATTCCCAGAGCCCTCAGGCCAAGTATAGACTTTGCCTTATTTTCTTCCATATGCTCTTTTTTTCCCATATGCTCTTTTTTTGGTGTCTATCGATATTTACCAATAATATCTGCACATTAGCAATATTTAAAATTAAAAGGACAAGTAGTCTCTTCTTACAGCTAATGAAATATTAGCATGTCCTTTCTTATTACCTATAAAACTATTGGCTTTTGCCTTTTTTCATTGCTGGAAGGGATGATCAGTTTAGTGCAATGATCTTCAAATTATTTTCAGGGGTGCCCCAGGGTCCTTCTTAAAAGAAAACGGACGAAGAGGGGCACCAAACAGAAGGGGAGTTCCTGGCCCAATTCATCCAGCCCACTACCACATTTTGTTTCCAACTTTTTATTTTCAAATAATTTTAAACTTATAGAAAAGTTTCAGGCATTGTATAAAGAACTCCTGTATGTGTTTGACCCACATTGTTAACATTTTGACACAATTGCTATATCATTCTTTCTTGCCCTTCCCCTTCCCTTTCTCTTCTCTCTCTATGTATAACTTTTTTCTCTAAATTGTTTGAGAGTAAATTGCAGATACCATATTTCATTACCTGTAAGCAGTTCTGTGTGCCTTTCCCAAGAAAAAAGATACTCACTTACAGGGTCAAAGCGCAATAATCAAAATCAGGAAATTTAATATTGATATAATGCTATTATCTAATGTAATGTGGAGAACTTATTTTAATTTTTCCAATTGCCCCCAAAATGTGCTGTATGGGCAATTTTTGTTTTTCTGGTCCAGAATCATCCTTTCCTTGTGTTTCACAACATTGACCTTTGTAAATACTACATGCAATTTCCTTTGTAAAAATCCCTCAATTTGGGCTTGTCTAATTTTTTTTATAATTAGATTTAGGTTACATAATTTTGACAGCAATATTATATAAATGATGTTGTGTTCTTCTCAGTGAATCACATCAGGAAGTATGTGATGTTGGTTTGTCCAATTATTGGCAATGTTAACTCTGATTACTTAAGTTGTTAAGGTGGTATCTACCTGGTTAGTCCACTATAAAGTTCTTTGTAATTAAAACCTATTTTATGCTTTGTAATTAAAAAGTAATTTACAGATAGATGCTTTTTAGAACCTTGTAAATATGCTGGTCTTCATCAGATTCTCATCCACTGGTTTAGCATCCACTGATAATCTGTTTAATGGTTATAGTGGTTGCAAAATGGTGATTTTCTAACATTATCATTCCTCCTACATTTATCAGTTAGTATCCTACTCCCTTACTTGTTTAAGTGTGAATTCATTTTTTTTTATTTTTATTTTATGGATTGAAATCTATTATTCTCATTATTTCGAAACTCAAATTGTCTGAGTTTGGCCAGTGAGAAGCCCTTGGATCTGACTCCCATGGTTTTCTGACATGTCCCATCATAATTGGAGCTGTACTATCACTTTATTTGTTTTCTGATTTATTTCCAAGCAATGATTTTTAAGGTTTAAAATAGATTGTTCCACTATAACACTTTTCCCCCTATTTGCCTCATTTCAAGTCAAGTTTGTATAAATAGTACCTAGAAAATAGAGAAGACAATAAATGATAGTAGCCCCTTTGTTTCTATGACTACTTGGTCACCATACTGTTTCTGCAAACTACTGGGTATGCTCCTGCAGTAGGGCTTGGAACCCACCATACCCTCTACCTAGAATGCCCCTCCTGATGACCCATCAGGGCTCACTCCCCCATTTCCTTCAAGTCATAGTACTATCATCCTCTTCTCAGGGAGGCCTTCTCTGACTACTTCATTATAGTAAAGCTCCTTTGATGATAACCCCTTCATTCCCAAGGTTTCATTCTAAAGTAAGACAATTGGTTTAACCGATCAATGGTTAAGTCACAAACATGGCATTAGCCCTTGTTGGATTATTTTACCATAGTGGATTGACAAACTCCATAAAATGCCTAATGGCATACACATAGTCCTTCTGGGTCATGAAAACAAAGTAGATGCTACCCACCCTACTGCTTCTGTATTCCTTATTTAATACTATTCCCCATAGCACATCCAATTCTGTATCACTTTGTTATAGAATTAATCTAATGTTTAAAGCTGTTAGTATCAATAAATATGAAATCAAATGAAAGCATCAACGAACAAGGATAAAGTAGAACTATTTGTCTTTTCCTTTGAAACATTCTCTAAAAGAAAATCTGTTTAAATTGTAACACTCACCATTTGCTTTTCCAAAGTGTTTTAAAAAACAAACAGAAAACCCTCAACAAACAATCACAGATAATAATCAACATGAAAGGGATACCCACAGCCTTTATGACTAGTCAAGTGCTTTAACTCAGTCATTCAGCACAGAAACTCTCTTTTCCCTGAGAACATTCCCTCAACATACAATTCAAAGTGACTGCATTTCATCAATTAGGATTAAAGGTATCCTCACTAAAGTGCATAGCAAGTTCCATGACTCACTGAGTTTACCCAAAGCAAACTCAGTAAGTTATTACCATGTATTGCCAGTGTCTTAGTAGGTCTTCTTAAGTTTCTCAAATGACTTACCTAGTCTTTTTCTAAAACCACTAACATATTTCAGACATTCAAAAGTATATTATTTCCAACTGCTGTATTGAGGGCACATAGGATGGCTGACTTTTCCCCTCAATGTCTGTTTTTCATTAAATTACTTAACAGAAATCTTTTAGGTTTTTGAGATGTTTCATGCTTCTGTATTGTAAAGCCAATACATTTGTCAACATAGTAAATAAGTAAATGTTCACAAGCCACAAAATGATGAGGCACCTCACTGTATAAAATAATGGAACAAATTCTACCAACATGTAATGTATTCCCAAGGGTAAAGGATGAACATTAACTATACTTTAAATCCCCTGGTTACCTGGTCCACTTAGTGAAATTCTGGAGTGGTTTATACTCAAGGACCTAATGATACAACCTACAGGCCTAATTTACCTTCCAAGATGCCTGTTTTAGACACAGTAATATCTAGCTGATTTTAAGTGAAACTCATGATCTCCAAAAAAAAAATTAAATACCATGTAAATTCACTGGCCATTTGTTTCTTCATTATAATGTTAGCTATTCTCGGTATTCAACTGTTTAAGATAAAAAGCATACCACAGTATTTAGTCCTCTAACATACAAAGAAAAACTATATTCATCATACATGATAAAATATAACTTCTTGTTCTTGAGGTCTAGAACTGCACTGTCCAATATAGTGGTCGATAGCTACACATAGCTATTGAGCACTTGCAATCTATCAAGTCCAAATTGAGATAAGCTGTAAATGTAAGATACACACTGGATTTCAAAGATTTAGCATGAAAAAAATGTAAAATATCTGACTAATAATTTCATGTTGATTACATGTTGAAACAGTATTTTGTTAAACTGGGCTTAAAAGTATATTATAAAAATTAATTTCATTGCTTCTTTTAAGGTTTTTTAATGTGGCTACTAGAAATTTTTAAATTATGTATATGGCTCATATTTGAGGCTTGCATTTATCTTATTTCTACTGAAGAGGGCTGGTCTAGACTAAAAGCAGGCAAAAGTTACAGTTATAAGGCCAGTTCCATAGTGTGTTATAAACATACTGCCACCACACAACTCTCTCATTTTCTGAGATTGTTAGCAGATCATCAAACCTCATAAGCAGCAGAGGACTAAGCCTAGGTGAATTCAGTTTGTGATGAATAAAATTATAAATCTTACACATATTAAGATGCTATCATGATGTTTAATTAGACAACACAGTAACTACCTGTTGTAACTATCTTACAAGCAACTATCATGTTATTAACATATCCAAAGTTTATATATTTTATTGTTTTATTATCTCATTTCTATAAATACTATACCAAATATCCTTAAAAACAGATTATTATCTACTGAATATCTTTATTTAGATATCATGGGCATTTCAAATTCATTATGTCCAAAATGGAAAGCATTCTCTTACTGTTGAGAGGTAATTGTCCATGGTGTTTTTATTTGTCTCTGAGTAAAGACAGGATATGCTTCTGGGTTAGAGAGTACCTTTGTTTCCTGGCCAGCATAACAAAGATAGTGTCATCCTCCAGGATAATGATTTTGGGCAAGTTTGCAAGTAGCCTCTTATAAGATTGGGAGGACACAGGTCCACTGTGTATACAGCATCTATCTGGGCCTCACTCTGTATCATGGGACTTGGGGAATTCATAAAAGCATGAAGATCATGCTGCCTTTTTGCTTTGAGTAATAAACTGTCTAAATCTATCTAGGCTCATTGCTTCCTTCTCAACGGAATCTACAGAAGTGTGATGAGCCAGCCTAGCAGCTGACTGCTGCTTGAAACTGCTTGACACTCACTTTCCTTTTTACTTTCTCAATCTTTATACAAGCATCACTATGTACCCACTGCCCAAGTCAGAAACCTGACCATCAGTCTTGACTCCTGACTCTCATTCACCAGGCCCCCCATATCCAGTCAATTGCCAAGTCCTAGTCATTCTATCCTCTTAATTTCTCTCAAACTATCTATTTATCTCCATTCCCACTACTTTAACCCTAGTTCAGGTCATTATCCTCTCTTACGTATATGCTTAATTTGCGCCACTACACCAGTGTTACCCCACTTCACTCTATTTTCCATACTGCAGCTGGAATGATCTGATTTTTCATTTCTTTGACCTCAGGATAAAGTCCAAGCTTCTTAGGATGACAAAGTATTTCAAAACCAGGACTTACATAGCATGTTTCTTGATATTCCATTTGTGACTGTTTCACCTGAGGGGGAAAGAGGGTGGAAGAGAAGGAGAAAACAAGAGATTAGTCCCACTTCTAACATAAAAGACTTGGGAGCAAAGGATAAACTGGGTGCTATGGCCTAGAAGGAGCACTTTAAGAGAGCTGAACCTTAGTGGAACTGCCAGAGTTCCTTTCTTCCTTATTCATATAAAGATTTGACGGTTACTATGTAAGGTAATGAATATGTAAACTACCTTGATTGTAATAATCATTCCACAATGTAAACATATATCAAAGCATGTTCTATATCTTAAATATATACAATTTTTATTCATCAATTATACCTCAGTAAAGCAGGGAAAAAAGATTTGAATCCGACTAAACTCAATGACTTCCTCTGTTAGAACTGGTAACCAAAAATTGACCCAACATAGCCACGAAGGACCATTATCACTTTACTCACTGCCAGCCACATTTATTCTGATGAAGAGAATGTGCCATCTGTAAGCAATATTACTTTCTTGTTATTAGATTTTTGAATGCACCATTTAAGGCCACATCTTTTCCTTTTAGTTCATGGCACCCAATATAAAGGCTTTTCTTTTAAAATGCCTGATGTTAAAAAATGCTGAACTCAGTTGAATCATGTAGATGGAATGCAGAAAGTTTAGACCAAGCCTCCATCCTCATCTCTCATTCATGTTGTTTCCTCTGCCTTGAACATATTTTCCTGGTTTTTTGTCTGATTAAGCCCCTCTTCTTCATTACTTAGCTTAAATTTTATCTCCTCCAGGAAGCCTTTCCTGACTCTCAAAGTAGCATTAGATGTCTTTCCTATGAATTCTCTTAGCATTTAATACTTGCTCATGTTTCAGCATTTAGTACACAGTATTTAAATGATATATTTGCTTATCTCCCCTAATAGACAGTAACCTCCTTGAAGACAATGTGTCTAACTCATTATTTTATCCCCAGTGGTAGCATCATGCCTAGCACATAACAAATACCCAATCAGTAATTATTCATTATAAATAGATAAATAATTAGATAAGTCTTTGGAAAATAAAAAAGGGAATTAAAATCTTTTTAAAAACGAGGAGAAGGAGGGGTTAGGCTGTGGAGTTTTTCTTATCTCTACCCACATTCTCTCTCTCTCCCCCTCAATCCTCTCTTTCTCTCTCTCTCTCTCTCACACACACACACACACACACACAGAGACACACACACACACAAACAGAAAGTTAATTTTATGTATCAACTTGACTGGGCCATGGGGACCCAGATACTTGATTAAACATTGTTTCTGGGTATGTCTCCAAGGATATTTCTAGATGAGATTACTTTTGAATCAGTAGAGTAAAGCAGATTGGTCTCTCCAATGTGGATGGGCATCGGGCAAACCCATTGAAGGCCTGAATAGAATAAAAAGATTGAGTAAGAAGGAATTCTTTCTCTCTACCTATTTTCAAACTAGGACACTGGTTTCTCCTGCCTTCAGACTTGTACACAGACTGGAACTTACACTATTGGCTTTCTTGGTTCTCAGGCCTTCAGACTCCAGTTGGAACTATACACTGAGCTCTCCCTGGTCTGGCTTTCTCAGACTCCACAATCAAGTTAAGCCAGTTTTTTATAGTAAATCTCTCACTCACTTACTCTGTCTCTGAAGATATCTACATCTTACTGGTTCTGTTTTTCTGAAGCACTTTAGTACACACACTGACATGCCAAGTCACTGATGTTTTCCCTAATTTCAACAGCCTTCCCAGTCCTAGGTTTGCAGTTTCAGCACTACCAACTTTCATGAGGAAAGATAAATGCATTTTTTCAAATATATTCTTTTTCTCTCAACTAAGCCTCCAAACATTTCTTACAACTATAAAGGCCTGGATACAGCAACAATGTAGATCATCTTACTTTACTCCAAAAACCCAATAGGAAAATGTGTTTTAAACTTCTAAAATAAATACTAGACCATTTATTAACTATATGCTCCTAATATTCACTTTCTTACATTTTTACTAAACCTAATATTTCTTCACCTTTGAAAACTTTAGAGATAACATAAAATATTGTGATTATAGAAATCCATCATCTTGTTCATGTAAGGCAGAGTTGAATGTAATCTCTACATAAATCAAGTTTGTTTCCAGGCCAGGAGAACTAAGGTGGTGAAGATAGGATGACAGCTAAACTGGACAACTTGTTCATTAACTTTTTAGCATCAAAGATCTTTATCTTTGCCCACTATCCTTTCCAAAGACCTGAGGTACTGCTGGCCTCTGGTCCTGAATTTTGGAAACAGAAGCTTAGAATGCCGCTAAGGTTTCTTCCAAGATCTTATCTAGAGTGACCAACATAGCCCCTCAAAAAAGTCAAAGAAGAGAGACCTTCAAGTCAACTGCTGTACTATGGCAGGTTTCAAGGATGTCTGTTATCTCAACAGTGCAAACAGCTGAGGGAAATTCTGGTGGCCTGGAGGCCATTAGTCAGTTGCCCCCAATTTAAATTGTCAGTTTTCTTTGGCCACTATCTGAAATGAAACGATTTCAGAAAGATCAAGGTAGCTCAACTTTATAACCAAGTTCTTTTAGAATATAGAAAGCAAAGTTCTTAAACTTGTAGAGCATTCTACTTCAGAGTAAGAATAAGTATAACATCACTGTGGAGATAAATCTATGTTCTAGGAATGACTCTGCAACTTTAAAGTCTCCTGAGCCTTGGCTTCCTCTTTGTCATAAGAATTAGCTAAAAAACAATCCAATGTGCCTATAACATTACATAACATGTGTAGATGCTCAACAGAAGGCAGTTATAATTTTGAAAGATTCTCCATAAGAAGTTAGCAAAGTACAGCCTGCAGGGCAAACTACCCAATGCCTGTTTTTGTAAATAAAGTTTCATTGGAATACAGCACACTTATGACTACTTCTGGGCTACAGTGACAGAGGTGAGTAGTAGAAAGAGTAATGACAGTTGTAACAGAGACCGTATGACCAACAAAACATAAAATATTTACTATCTGGCCCTTTATAGAAAATGCTTGCTAGCTGGGGGTGCCAAGATGGCCAAATAGGAACAGCTCCAATCTACAGCTCCCGGTGTGAGCAACGCAGACAGGTGATTTCTGCATTTCCAACTGAGGTACCGGCTTCATCTCACTGGGGCTTGTCAGACAGTGGGTGCAGCCCACGGAGTGTGAGCTGAAGCAGGGCGGGGCATTGTCTCACCTGGGAAGCGCAAGGGGTCCGGGAATTCCCTTTCCTAGCCAAGGGAAGCCATGACAGATGGTACCTGGAAAATCGGGATACCTCCACCCTAATATGCGCATTTCCAATGGTCTTAGCAAACAGCACACCAGGAGATTATATCCTGTGCCTAGCTTGGATGGTCCCATGCCCACAGAGCCTCGTTCACTGCGAGCACAGCAATCTGAGATTGAACTGCAAGGCGGTAGCAAGGCTGGGGGAGGGGTGTCCGCCATTGTTGAGGCTTGAGTAGATAAACAAAGCGGCTGGGAAGCTCAAACTGGGTAGAGCCCACCGCAGCTCAAGGAGGCCTGCCTGCCTCCGTAGACTCCACTTCTCAGGGTAGGGCATATCTGAACAAAAGGCAGCAGAAATTTCTGCAGACTTAAACGTCCCTGTCTGACAGCTTTGAAGAGAGTAGTGGTTCTCCCAGCATGGAGTTTGAGATCTGAGAATGGACAGACTGCCTCCTCAAGTGGGTCCCTGACCCCCGAGTAGCCTAACTGGGAGACACCTCCAAGTAGGGGCCAACTGACACTTCATACAGCCAGATGCCCCTCTGAGACAAAGCTTCCAGAGGAAGCATCAGGCAGCAACATTTACAGTTCTGCAATATTTGCTCTTCTGCAGCCTCTGCTGGTGATACCTAGGAAAATGGGGTCTGGAGTGGACCTCCAGCAAACTCCAACAGACCTGCAGCTGAGGGTCCTGACTGTTAGAAGGAAAACTAACAAACAGAAAGGACATCCACACCAAAACCTCATCTGTACATCACCGTCATCAAAGACCAAAGGTAGATAAAACCACAAAGATGGCGAGAAACCAGAGCAGAGGAGCTGAAAATTCTAAAAATCAAAGCACCTCTTCTCCTCCAGAGGAATGCAGCTCCTCATCAGCAACGGAACAAAGCTGGATGGAGAATGACTTTGACGAGTTGAGAGAGGAAGGCTTCAGAAGATCAGTAATAACAAACTTCTCTGAGCTAAAGTAGGATGTTCGAACCCATTGCAAAGAAGCAAAAAACCTGGAGAAAAGATTAGACAGATGGCTATAAACAGTGTAGAGAAGACCCTAAATGACCTGATGGAGCTAAAAAGCATGGCATGAGAACTATATGACAAATGCACAAGCTTCAGTAGCTGATTCGATCAAGTGGAAGAAAGAGTATCAGTGATTGAAGATCAAGTGAATGAAATGAAGCAAGAAGAGAAGTTCAGAGGAAAAAGAGTAAAAAGAAATGAACAAAGCCTCCAAGAAATACAGGACTAAGTGAAGAGACCAAATTTACGTCCGATTGGAATACCTGAAAGTGATGGGGAGAATGGAACCAAGTTGGAAAACATTCTTCAGGATATTATCCAGGGGAACTTCCTCAACCTAGCAAGACAGGCCAACATTCAAATTCAGGAAATACAGAGAACACCACAAAGATACTCCTTGAGAAGAGCAACTCCAAGACACATAATTGTCAGATTCACCAAAGTTGAAATGAAGGAAAAAATATTAAGGGTAGCCAGAGAGAAAGGTCGGGTTACACACAAAGGGAAGCCCATCAGACTAACAGCAGATCTCTCAGCAGAAACTCTAGAAGCCAGAAGAGAGTGGGAACCAATATTCAACATTCTTAAAGAAAAGAATTTTCAACCGAGAATTTCATATCCAGCCAAACTAAGTTTCATAACTGAAAGGGAAATAAAATCCTTTACAGACAAGCAAATGCTGAGAGATTACATCACCACCAGGCCTGCTTTACAAGAGCTCCTGAAGGAAGCACTGTTTAACATGGAAAGG